TAACTGTAAGTGCACCTACTGCAAAATTTTGGGGTTTGTTTTTTGGGGTTTTTTTGTTTTGGTTTTTTTTCCCCAAAATGCTGGCATCTCTCTCCTTTGGAGAGAATACAATGAAAAAGCATCTTATTCACAAATCACCGAGTCACATACTTCTGCTACACCAGACTTCCTTCGTAGTTCTGCATCCCAATTTTCTTTAAAGCATTCCACAGCATACATTTAATTAGCAAAACAATTCCATCTGTTCTGTGAGTCAATACTGACAACTTTACTGTTAAAATACACGTATTTCTCTTGGTGCAGCTTAATCTGACAGGGGGGAGAAGAGCCTGCTGTGCTCAGAGCATCATGTCTACTGCCCAGGTTTCCACTGCAGGGCTGCAGCCCAGCTGGCACTGGGGGTTCCCAAAAGCCTCCACAGCCCCATCCCTGGCCACTGCTGGCCCCTGGGACCCCTAAGTCACTTACATACCCTAAACACAGGCCTCCAAAGGCAATTCCACAGAACCACTGGTTAAAGATCCCTTTTTTTTTTTGCTTAGGTTTTGAAAAGTGACACAGAAGAACAAGCTCAGGTGACAATATGAAATAGGCATCAAGGGCTGTGGACATCAACAGGACACTAGAATTGAGACCCTAATGGGGGATGGGGCAGTAAGAGCCAGCTAAACCTCATCCACCAGCAGGCGCTATCTCCCAACCTCAGTACCGTCAACTTCACCCTCTCCCCCCAAGCGGGAGGTGCAGGAACCCACGATCTTTGGTTAGAAACCAAGCTCTCTATTTCTCCCATAGCAGAAAACCTCAGGGACTCGTCTACTCCTGGGTCTCCCTGCTGGGGAGCAGACCAGCCCTGCCCATCCCAGATCTGTGCCACACTGCTGTTATTATATGACAGCTTCCTCACCACTGCAGTGCTGGCATGCTCCTGACAAGCTCTTGCAGATTAAGCATCTCCCTTCAGCTTTCAATATTATAAAAATATGGAAAAAGATGAGATAGCGTCTGCCCCACTCAGATCCTGCCTCAGTCATAACCTAGAGGGCAAGCTTAGCTCATTGCAGGAGAGAAAAGGTAGGATGAGGTATCCAAGTCAAGGTGAATCCCAACTTGTCAGCCTAAGATAAGGTGATCTAAAGGGATGAACTATTGAACTAAACAGGAATGGAAATATATATTAAAAAGTCTAGGGAAAAGTAGGGACCGATCATTTAAACCAGCAACCTGGAACAAACAAGGAACTTCTTCCCCCACCAATGTCCTAGATAACTGATATTCTTCCCTGGGGCCGCCGTTAGTGTATGAAATACTATGGGGTTTTCCACCCCCACCTTTTGTTTGAAATGGCTGCAAAGGGTTTTACTTTTTCTCAGGCTGCAGATGAATTTTAACTTTAATCTTCCCAAAGAAGCAGCAGTCTTGCTAAACAGGGCATTTGAATGCTTACACCACCAGTGTAGGACGCAGCATACCCCTCACCGAAATACAAGCAAAAGGAATAGATTGGTTCATGCAGCACTCCATGAAATCCTCACTGCAAGCAGTTCAAGCACACAGGTAACAAATCAGTAAGAAACAAATCAATTAATCCAACAATAGTGTAGTAAGTTGGCCCTGGAGCAAGTCAATTGAATTAACAAAACAGGTTAACAGAAAAAAATAAACATAGAGTCATTAACAGACACCAAGACATCCTGGTTCCAGCTGAGCCCGAAAGATACCTTTACCAACTTCTGGCCACGCAGCTCCCCCTGCAGCCAAAGCTCTGGGTGACCCGACCCTATAAGCAGTGCTAAGAACTGCTCAGTTTAAGGCTTTAGTGCCGCCTTCTCTTAGGAAAGCTTATCTCTTCACTGATGGCAGGCAGTGCCCACAGAAATCAGACTGACCAGGCTAAAGTTACTGTTCTGTTGACTCCTTTGAATCCTACTGCTCTACTTGAATCAATTCAAGCCCTTCTGCATCCTAGATTGGTTAACTGTTCACTATGTTATCCCAGCCAACCTACTAAAGTGAACATTTGGAAGCCCAGACCTGCAAGGCTGAATCCGAAGGACATCGTCCGTGACTAGTGCAGAGATGTAGAAATTACCTCCAAAGCTGCGTATGACACTTCATTAACACCCACCCCTACGTAGATGTGCTCGCAAAGTAGCAACATTATACATAATATAAATCTGTACAATTTGCTATAAAATTATGAGTTGTAAGCATGATGGCTAGTGACCGAGCTGTGATCACGCTATGAAGAGACTCCTTAAAGGGTAGCATATAGGGTGCGGCAGCTGCGACACATCTACATTTTCTAGTAGGGAGGGAGACAACCTCTATGGACATAGTTGGTGCACTCTGAGAGCATTAATGCAGAGGTGGGCAATGCCACCACAGCACTGGTTACCCACAAGATGATGGTGGTGCCACACCCTGAACACACAAGCAGAATGCCAACAGGTTAATCATGCACAACAAAACGCATTATGTTAAGAGCACTGTGACAGAAAGCAAGAAAAAAGTTTTTATGCCATGAAGAAAGGCTCACATATACAAGCACATAAGCAACTCAGTTTCTTCTCAGTACCATCATAGCTTCCTATTTAAAGTTGTCTTCCAGCAAATAATGTACATATGTTAACTTTTCTGCCACCAGCCATCTACCTCCTCCTGTTCATGCATTTCTGCTTGTTTCTGATATGGCTATCAGCAAGTTCCAAAGGACATGAGAGGTTTGATTATAAAGGTAATACAGCTCTACATTTTCCTCAGTTGAAAGCCTTCCGTTCTTTTTAGCCCCCAACCTTTGCCCATGCTGCAGCTGTCAAGTTCTGCAAACAAATCCACTTCTCTGTTCGAGTCAGGTAGTTCCTGGTTGGTCAAAATTGTGTAAAATATACTGTGCACATAATCATAAAATCATGTACGATAGTAATTATACCTAGATGAAATCAAGGACTTCACCTTCAGTCCTCGTCCTCATGAGATAAGAACATGCTAACTGCTTTTTGCAAAAGCAGACAGCGGACGTCCAGAAACGTTGGTAGTTGCAAAAACTGTACCTTGTTTTCCAAGTCCCAGTTTAAAGCCAGAACAAAATACCCTTTGCCCTTGTTCAAAAATAAATGCTGAACTTCCCAAAGATGGCCCTAGCCATCCAACCTACTGATCTAGTTCAGCAAGTTATGGAAAGCCCAGTAGAGGGATAAAGTTCTCTCTATGAATGCATCAATCCTTCTCATTATGACTTATTAAGACAAGCCACTACCACAGATGTCTTCTTCAAGCAGACCAGAAATCCAAAAGTACAGCTTCTCTGTCAAAATCCTGTCACTTTAATGCTACAGAAGCCGTGACACCAGAATGCCATCATTAAATTTACAGAGGGTACCATGCTGAAAGTGGCAGGGTTTGGTGGTCTTGGTGGGTTTTGACCATCTCAGCTTCAAGGTATGGGCATCAGGAGAGAAACCGCATTGTTGCCTGTAAGCTGCTAATGCCACAGGGGGTGGCAAGTTCTTGGAGTTTGTCCTTCAAATGCGGGGAAGGGCAAGTCTTTATGAAGTCTGCCTGCACATACTCCTAGCCACACAAAAAAAGGGTACAGCAGCGAGTGTCACTTCTCAGCACTGGGCCAAAGTTTAGCTCACATGAAATGGATCCCCTTCCACCCCTACTCTGACTCTCTCTGGAGTACCACACGTACAGCATACCAGAGGCACCTTAGCATGAACAGAGACCACAGACAGCAGCAGCAAAATTAATACTCCACTAGCAGTGGGTGCTACGGGGAAGAGAACTGACTTTTTTTTTTAAGGTACAGAGAATCTTCCAGCTTGCTCAGGAAACCCTAAACTGGTAATGACTTGCCTAGGCCTTGGTAGTGCTCTTGAGAGTTATCATCTTCAACCTCAAGCAATACTTGAACAGGAGAAAAAAATATAACACTTTTCAAGGTCACCAAGGAAATTAAATCATTCAACAAAATTTGAAATATACAAACTTTTTTACCAAGGAATACCTAAGAGTCACTAGCCAATAAACCATGAACTTTTTTTTTTTTTTTGATTAAATACATTATTTAATGAGTTTTAAGAAAGATATTTTGAAGCTCAAATTACAATAAAGTACAATCTTCTAGATCTACAGTAGACAGTGCTATAAACATTTACCAAACCAGGTATTTTCATGTTTGCTTCTCTGCTGTTATTATTTAAGGAAAAGAAATTCAAAATCTCTTGTTAACAGCAATCCTGTCCTAACTTGGATATTTCACCCTAGAATACAATAAGGACAACAGCCTGATACTAGAGTCCTCTCCCAAAATACAGACCAAATGTCAAGCAGGAGCAAGACACTGTCATGATCACACACTAATTCAGCTTTTTAAAGAGTGACAAGTAAAATGGAGCAGATGGTTGGAGGGAATATTGAAAAAGGGCGTTGCTCCTTTCCCAATGGAATCAGAAAAAAATGCCCTTTTGCTACCAAAGTCAAGCTACCATCAAACTCATGTTAATTCAACACATTTGAGCAAGTCCAAGTTTACATAGGTAGCTTTGAGTTCACTTTGTCACCTTCTTATATTTTCCCTCTTCTCTCTGCATCCAATGTTTTCTTTCTCCCGTTTCTGAGCCTGCATTATCCCTTCATCATTTCTATCTTCAGTTACTCGGTCCCAGTGGGACGGAGCCAGAGTGCCGCTCCTCTTCAGTCTTCTGACATTGTCAATACTGTGGCAAAGGGCAAATCAATAGTGCTGAATTAGTACTGAGAAAGGAAAAAAGAAGCAGGTCAATTCCTCAGAGTTGTTTCGTATCTTTCAAAGGCCATTTTGCATGGCCTTTAAATTCTAAAAGTACACATGAGCTTCTACAGTTCATGTAAAAATGTGATTGAGCCAAAAAAGTTTCAATACTTCTTGGTTTAAACTGAGCAGCACACTGATCAACCACAGCAAACTACTGTTTGAAAGCTGCTGCTCAGCTATTCAGACATAAAAGCAGACATCAGGTGTAAATTTCATATTTATTATAACAAAAATTATGACATGTTCATTTGTGCATTCGGCTTTAATATAACTCTTGGTATGTAAATGTTCTACAGCAAATGAGCTCTATACAATCATGCTGGTTGTGGCAGCAGTAAGGAACACAAACAAAACATGTCTGTAAAAGTCAGGAAAGAAAGAGACCAGAGGAAAAAGTGGGTTTCTTTAAATGGTCTACACCATCTCAGCTCTAGCTAACTTGTACACAGCCACTCAGTCTGTTACGCTCAATGACCATGGCCCGAAGAGTCACTTAAGAAAAAAAGGTCAATTTTTCAGGTTGTGTCCTTAATGCCAAGGCTACAAAACGTGTAAGCATCACTATACAACACTGAGCTATTTACAGGAATTTCTCAATCAACTGTTCTCTCAGAGAAAATTAGTGAATCTCAGTGACTTAAGTCACCTGAAAGAGTAAAGCAACTCCTAGGAGTTAGTCTCCATATTCTACAAATGTCTATCATTTTCAAGACCAAAAAAAGCCTTTTCTCTCAAAGAAATACAGTATTACAATATTACTTAAATCATTTAGCACTGGCTACTGCCCTGCTTTTCAAACAAAACAAACAAGCCGTTTTAAAAAATATTACATCATCATCTGTTTCTCAGCAATATATTAAACCTTTTTATTATTTTTTTGTTTTGTTTTTTCGTTTTTACACTTGATATGTTAAGGGAAGGTTAACTATTTTAAACTTTACTGGTCAAGCGTCTCTAGAAGAAAGTCAATGAATATTAAACCTAATAAACTGAAAAGCTGCAGTTATTTGTAGTGGCAGGATAAGGAAAAGGAAGTATATAAAGGAAAAGGATAAGGAAAAACCCTGCTGTAATGCGAGCCCACCGGGTCCCACACTCGTCTCCTTGTTTGTTAGTTTATTTCTGAGCAGTAAATAGAGTGGGTCATAGTGGTGTATCGTAATAGTCTGCCAGGTGGTCCATCGGATACTGCCGCTGCTGCTGTTGCTGCTGCTGTTGTTCCTGGTGCTGCTTCATAATCTCCTTGACTTCTTCTTCAAGCTCTGGTGGGATGATGAACTGGTCATCAGGATCGGGCTGTGCTGGAGCAGCAAAGTAGCCCCCTGTTTTTCTGAGCGGCGCATCTGTTGCGACTTCAATTAAGTTATGGCTCCTCTCTTGTGGTGCCACAGAACCGTTGCCCCGCCGGCGCCCTATTGTGCCTGTGGCAGAATGTTCAGCTTTCCTGGGAAGACCGGGCTCATCTTCGTTGGCACTGATGACAATACCTTCGTCGCTGGCTTCCACCGGCACTTGGAGAAGCTGCTTCTCCTTTGCTCGGCTGCAGTGGATGTCCACCTCTACTTCCACGCGGCTGCCGTTGGTGAACACCCCCTCAATCGGCTCCTCATCATCGCTGTCAAGGCCGTTGTCAGAGAAGGCGCTGGAGAAGGTGGCGCTGGAGAGCTGCCGCTGGAAAGAATTGGACAGGCAGACAGGGTGCAGCATGCAGCGCTGTTCCCCCGGGTAGGCCGGGCTGTTCTCGTTCATGGCTACCTGGGGAGGCTCGTCAGAGGCCGTGGACCCCACCTCACTGCTCATTTCAGAGGTGGAGATCTCACTGCTGATCTCCGAAGCCATGCCACTGCTGGAAGATGGCATCCCAAGTGCATCTGTTGGCCTGTCTTTGATGACCACGTTGACAGACTGGGGGAAAATGCCCGGGCTGGGGGGTGGGACCCCATTAAGTTCACAGCAGCAGAAGCTGTCCTCCGTCACATTGAGCTGAACCACGACAGCGCTGATACTGTCATTGCAGCCGTAACTCTGGGCCAAAGTGCAAAGCTTCTTCGCTGCTGCCAGCGCATCAGGCACGTTTCTGACTGCCTCCACTGCTTCGTCCATCGAGAGGCTGTCCCACAGCCCCTTGCTCCCCAGAATGAAGAACTCATCTTGCGGAGTTAAGGTGATGGATTGGACGTGAGGACGTGGCACAACACTTGGGTGAAGGAAGGTGTACCCCAAGATTCTTGTTGAATCTGTCACACCATTCACTTTGCCGTCCTGAAATTAGAAAGGACAGGAAATTGGAAACAAAGCAGACTCAGGTACACAGCACCTGCATCTCCTTGCATTTTACTGATTGCTGGTCTTGCAGTACCCCCAACACTGCAATTTACAGGCAAGAAGATGGAAAAGCAAAGTGACTTGCAAGGAGGTGACAGAGCTGGGATTAGAGCGCAGCAATGGCTGGTTTGCCATCCTGTGCTACGCCTCCTACACCCTACTGATTTGTCATCAGCATCACCTATGCTCAGACCAACAAAGCAGAAGTCTGCAACAAAGAGTCATCTATTCTGGTCCTGCAGCTGAGAGTGGCAACTGGACTAATGTTTTACTAGTGAGTCAGACCTATCCCTCCTCCACCCACAATATCTGGCTTTATACAGGGCAAAGCCACACACAGCTCCATTTGATATAGGGCCAGGTCATTCAGTTATGACTCTTCTCTTGCAGCTGTAACAATCACAGGTTTCATCTTCGCTCATCGCTTCAGAAACAAAAGTTCATTTAAAAAAAAATAAAAAGACTTTAAATGAAGCATGCAAGTCAAACGCAGCAGAGAGCAAGTCTGCATTTCTCAGTCAGCTGAGTTGTAGTGAAATGTTTTACATGCCCCAATTACTTACTACATTTCCACTTAGATATGACATTTCCAAGGGGAGGAGGAGTAATATCTGAAGGGAAAACATCAGTAAAAATGGACATATTTGAGAAGTAAAACCCATGCATGTCCAAATCCCAGGATCGTGTCCTGCTTAGAATCCAGACTGCCAGAGTAAGTAGAGCAAGTGTCTGTAAGAGCAAGCCTGGCTATCTGTCAGCCTGCTGGGAACAGCTGCGCCCTGCTAATTGCGTGCTCGAGAAGAACCACCAAGGTGAGGATTTACAACTCATTTGGTCCAGCTGATGACTGCAGTGGTTATTGTAAGGCAGATAACCACAGAAAAGTGAACCAAGACTAAAAAATTCTTTCTCTTTAAAACCACTCAGAAGGAAAAAAAAAAACCAAAACACAAAACCAACCTTGTCAGCTTGTTAAGTTCCCCATTAGAAGGCTGACAGCACTGATAAACCATCAACATGTGTGAAATCAGTGAGTCATCCTTAGATTCAGAACAGAAATTTCCCTTTTTCTCTACGGAACAACACAACGAGCGTGCCTTGGTGATGCACACTGTTGGAGTGACTCCCTTCCAGCTTGTCACGTTTTAGAACCTTTCCCTGTCAAGATCAATAGGCACATGACTTATTCCACACTGCCCCCCACCCCACATGCACACCCTGCTCGCAGACATACAGCAGTGAGTTTTCTGCCTTTTCCTCCACCATTAGAGGACTCAATGTTTACCTACTCCTATGCATGTGTCACACAAGACAAAGCAACACTGACAGCGGTGGTGTGAAGCTTACAAAAAGGGACCAAATAGTTTTCTCCCCTCTCACAGTTCAGCTGAGCACAGGATGGGTTTTCCTTTTGGGCAAGTGCTCTCTTCAAGAGCCACCTGTCAAAGGGCAGCTCTGGGAACACAGGAGCTCAGACAGCAAAGTTATCCTGCCAGGAGCAAGGAGTCTCCTAAGGGAAGGACAGCATTGCTCCAAGTGCTCAGAGAGGCTCTTTATGACAGCTCCAACACAGCAATTCCTCTAGCCATTAGGAGGAGGGTGTCTGCTTTCCTGTTTCAATGCAACATGCTCACAGTTGGTTACTCTGAAGCTAACCAAAATCCAGCACAGCAATAGGAAGGAAAACAACTTGATGCATGATATGAATCACCTTGAAAGGAAAAGTGCAACTCTGGAACTCATACCATTAACACAACCTCTTAGAGGTTACTAATATCAACACAGAATTTCATGCATTGCTGTGCAAATGCTCTCCAAGGAAGCTGCAAGTTGCAACCTCCCTAACTGTTCTCTAACCTCAGTGATAATGGCCTTATGCTGCTTAATCCTCTTCAGCTCTTCTTCACAACTCATCACGTAACATCTGGACAAAGGCAGAGGTTTTCCATTCCGGCAGAGAACAGTTTGGCACTTCCCCACGTTTGCTGAGGTTAGTGTGAAGCATCCACCAGGGTCCATGGGATCATGTTTTATATGGCAAAGGACAGCAGAGCCTCCAAGTTTTTGTCCAGCTGTTCCAAGTTTCCTGGAATTTAAACAAAACAATGATTGTTCTTTAATTGAAAAACAAGCATTACGGGTACTACAGAGAAACAGCCGCTGTTCTGTGACAAGCACTCAGAGCACTAACTATTCGATCACTGGGACAGAAACAAAAGTCTCTGCTGAAGACTGTGACACTACAGCAGCACTGCAGAGAAATCACGTGCAGCTTGCAGGCAGTATGTCATTTACACATATGCAGATACTCAAATTTAGAACAAAAACAATGAAAAAAATCTCTGAACTTCTACAAGCTGCAAAGTTGTGTCTCTTCCCCTACATCTTAAAGAAATTTGTTTTAAAGGGCAGATGGAAAGAAACAGAGAGGGTTAGAAAAGTACCGAGGGCTATTAAAGAAGTCCATGCAGAGCTTAAAAAGGGGGTTCATGTTATCCAGCTGGTTCTTTGGCTTCTGAAGCAACAGATTTTATTATGAAAATATTCCTAACTGTAAAAACTCAATTTTTGAGCAAAAACAGAAGGCAGAGGTTCACTGGCTTGTGATGTCTTCAGAATAATGCTCTTACAAGTATCAAATAATGATGAAAAAAGCACTGTGGCTGTTAACTCCACTATAAGAAGGCACACTTTTCATTTTTATCCTGTCAGTTACTAACCTGTTAAATAGGTTCTTATAAATATTTAAGCCAGTTGTTTTAGCAGGAGTCACAGTGAACAACAACAACAACAACAAAAAAACAGATAAAACTGAAGTTTTCAGAATCCTATCATTAGAATGTAAATTCATTTCAACACTAGACTGAAAAACCATCCATCCTTCTCAGCATCTTGTTTATTAGGGTCTTCTCCTACAGTAATTAGGAATTACAGTAATTAGAGAGCTAATTATGGAGGTTACTAGAATTTGTATTAAGTCTAGGTATAGCTGGCAAGAACTTATGATTCAAAATCCTGGGGAGAGAATGTACAATTAAATTTGTAACCAAGCTTCAATGTGCTCTTTTACTTTCTTTTTTAAAAACACTTCAGGGGTGTTATATCATCTGTAATAATCCTCAATAAATGGTTAAATGCCACTGGAATGAATAGTTTCTGTTTCTCCAAATAAAGGGTTAGCTTATTTTGACTTGAGACCCAGGGAAAAAAAAGGCAGCTTTTCATAAGAATGCCCCATTCCTGTGAAATTGCATTAGTAGTAAAGAAAACCACCTACTAAGTACTTTTGATACTCACATGTATTATTATTTTTGAATATTTTAAGTATACAGCAACCATCTTCTCAGCTACCAGTCTGAGGCACTGTTACTAGTAATTATGGGAAGGAAGCATTTTCTCTTTTAAGGTTCAATACCACCCTCCTGTTTCCAATACCAGAACTTCAGTATTCTTCCTTTCCAAAGGTGCAACAATGGAAGGATAAATAATGCTACTTTTAACTTGATCCATTTCCTCAGCCTCTAAGCTGCTTATTTGCTTTCTTCTTTGTTTCCCTGACCTCTTTGTTCAATTCCCTTCGTACTCCTCCTTCACTTGGTGTCTCCCCAGGCACAATTTCTTCTGTCAAGAACAGCATGCACAGAGGTTTCCAAACCACTACACAGAGCTACTATTAGACTTGCAGCTATCATATCATAATCTCTTTGGATGGGTCCTGCTCAAATAATATTCTAAGGCCAAAGGGACGATAGGAGACAGAAATTTCTAAGGAGTCAGACTACATGTTTTTAATATTTGCATAGCCTTAAATAACCTAAATTGGTACAGAGAATCAGAAACGATCAGCCCAGGCTTTGCAGCCAATAGCAGTAAGGAAGTTTAGAAGAAGATGATCCAGAGATTCATACCATTGACTTAGTTATGGCCAACTGTGAGTAAGACTTTAAAGAAGATAACAGAAAAGAGCAAACCTCCAGCCACCATTATTCATGAGCATTTAGTAATTTTGCAGGTGGGTTTTTTTGTGGGGGTGTGTTTTGGTTGTTTTTGTTCAGGTTTTTGTTTGTTTGGGTGGAGAGGCATTGGGGTTTTTCTCCCTACACCTGAAAGGAACAGAGGGCAATGTTCACAAAGCAAGCAATAAAAGAAAAAGCCATAGCCAGATAACAAGTCTTTTTTCTCTTCTCACTTTTTTTTTGGAAGAAAACCCCAGGTGTCTCAGGTGTCTGACCTGAAAGTGAAAAAACTGCCCAGTAAACATACACAAAGTAAAAAAAGCTTCAGATCCAAGACTCACCTCTGCATAACGATGAAAGTGTTGATCATGTATTCCTCCTCATTTTTTGTTTTCTGAAGCTCTTCTGCTAAGATGTCACTCATTGTGCACTGCAGCAGATACGGCACTTCCACATTGCGGTCACCATCAAACACACCATAAAGTGCCTCCCGGTTGTCGCAGAAGTTGTTGGCTGAAAGTGCTGCCACGCACAGCCTAGTGAAAAAAAAAAACAAAAAGCAGGAAAACATCGAAGTTGTTACCTGCTACTAGTTTCTCATCTTGTCAAGACAGATCAGAGAGATGCAGCCTAATCTGAGAGGTAGTTTTAACCACATTTGCTCACAAGCATTTCCGAAGTGCTTTCTGAGCTGTGAAGAAGAGTCAGGACCATCAACAGTGCTAAGAGGTGGAAAGAACTATATTGGAAGTTCAAGACAAGCCCTAAGGATGCTTCCTCCTTTTCAATATGTGAACAAGTCCTATATGTAGAAATAGGAGGAAAAGTATCTCTGGAACAACATCAGTTTAAACTGCACTTGCTCCTCTGAAAGCCATCCTTGTAATTTAACATGCTGATGACCAAGCTGTGTGTTACATCAGTTAACAGTAAGTAAAGGCTTGCTGGCACTTGCTACAGAAACCTAGGTAGCAGAAGATCTCTAAAAAGGTATTTAAGGAACAAAGAAAGATTCATCACATTGCCAGCAACACAGAAACTAGCAGACTCTTAGTACATTATTTGTCAAGTGCTGCCTTAGTCACAGGAGCTCTGCACACTATGAATATTCAGAGTTTTGGCCATTCTGTCTCTTCCTTTAGTATCTCTGATTTGCTTGGTAAACACCCTTTGGTTGAAGATAAAGCAGCCTTGCAAAGAAGAAAATGCTTTTAAACACTTAGATCTTTTGCAAGTACCCAAGTCCTGCATAGACAAAATGTGTCTGCTACACTTGTATCTTAGCAACTTCCCTAACAAAGACCAAAGTGGGGAGCCAGGCAGGGGCCCGGTATACAAATATAGTCACAGCACAGCCTCTGCCTTTGTGAGGCCCAAAATGTCCCCAAAACTTTTACTGAAAAAGGGATTTCTTCATATCGGCACAGAGGCACTCTGCTGCTAGGATGCTTGTATCATAAAAAACACTCCAGGTCATACTTGTTTTTAACGCCCGATGCTTCTGTGTAACCGTGACTCCACACTGCCGGCGCTCCTGAAGCATCACCGGCTGAGGGCTGGTCGATTCTGAAGCAACGGATATTGCTGCAAGGAGAAAGGAAAGGGGAAAGATGCAATAGATTGAAGTGCCGACATGATCCAGCTTGAAATGTCAAGAGAACAAAAAAGCAGTAAATAACTGAGCCTTTATGAGGGTGTCAGCTCCACTGTTTTGCTTAGCTGGCTTTGCTTTCCCTGCCCTCACCCCTGAGCTATTTGTTTCAAACCTGGCCCAGTAGGAATACAAGGCACATTTGTCACTAGCTTGATGAAATCAAGTGATTTTTTTTAACTTCCACCCATTTTAACAGGTCTCTGGGTTCTTTTCATTGTACTGAAATGAAACCACCTGTACGACCCACACCATCCCCTACATGGAGGGGAAAAAAAAAAAAACACTTCAGCAGCAGCAACATGTAGTAACAGCCTTCCATGAAAATGCCCATAAACCAGAAATTCGCTCCATCCTGGTCTTGCACCAACCTGCAAGAGCCAGCCAGTGGTCCTGACAGCAAGCACAGCCCTTCTGTCTTCCCCAATTGTGCAGTCCAATTTTTACTTAAGGCCCTTGATCCTCTACTCTCCAATTTACAACCAACATAGTTGAAATTCAGGCTAAAGGCTAACTCATGCAGCATAGTAAAGACTTCAAAAGGGCCCAGCCCTCTCTGTTTATATCCTTCTCTTCATAGCCCTGCTTTGCTGGGGAGAGATGACCTTCTGCCTGCTCCCTACCGCTCTCTTCCAAAGGCAGCGAAAGCGAGCTCCCCCACACGCTGCATACACTTCAAAGGCAACCGAACCTTTCATGAACCAAATGAATCATAAAAGAACACAAGCAGAAAAGTCTAACTGTTCACTCTGAGCATTCATTTTTCTCTATCCAAACCCCCACCTGACCTGAACATGCAGAAAAGTATTTTCAGTATTGCACAGTCTTCCTCAAATAACTTGAAGTCCTGTCACATCCAGTTCAATTTCTTTTTACACTAATAGTCAGGATGTACATCAGTGAGGGCAGATTAAAAGCAAACAAATGATATAAATAACCTTAGAGCCGCTGGTGTTTTAAGCCCTTGGTTTTGCAGCCCTCTGTCACAAACAGGAGGCAAACATCTCACCACCACAAGCATTAGAAAAGATTATCTGACCCCAAATCAAACTGGAAACCTGGATCTCTTCTAAAATAGCAGAGATTTTAATTCTGTCTGCACCTGCGGAACACTACACACATGAGCAAACACACTTTCTTCACAGACTTCTCATACAAGGCACTTATCCTCCAGGGCAGAGGAACTTGGATCAAAAAGGTTTTTCTGTTTGTTTCTTTTTTAACTGAGTTGACTGACCCCTGGTTCCTGGGCAGGTCAAGGACCCAGAGTTGTCTCAAGGCTTCCAGCAGTGGTGAAAAAAGCTACCTCAATGCATTGCTTTCAGCTTCCTCAGTGGCACCACTACAAATAGACCATGTACCCAGAAAGGAATGATATCCAGGCAGCACACCCTATTCAGGGAATATGGTCCAAAGCTTGAGGCAGCATGGTTTATTTTCTCCCTAATTTAAAATTATTGTTACGATTGAACTAGATGCTCTTTCCTCAAAATCTGAGTAGCAGCATCCTTTTGTGGTTTTTATTGGGTTTTTTTGTTTTTTTTTTTTCCTTTTAGTTGCTACTGAAAATTCTTACATCCAATAAATCACTTGGCAACATCCTCCTAAGTATGCAAGCCTCCTTTAAAATCTCCATACATATTAAAAAAAAGCAAGCATGCATGACAAGCCTCTTCTCACCAGCATTGAGAATGCATATTAACCTACTACCTGCGTGAATCCTGCCAGGGCACAGATGGAGAGCTGCCTATTACATGCATAAGGAAGATATAAAAAGTTCTAAGTGCACAAGTATTTTTGTGCCTGCCACAAAAAACAAGTGAAAGGAGTACCTCCTCTCTGTCAATTATAGCAGTATACCCTAGAAGTCAGTGTAGTATATCAGTACAGACACTAAGAAGCTCCTCAAAAGGCCTCAAACACCTGACTGTGGCTAATGAATATTAGGGAAGATAATAGACCTGAGGTCTTAAGCATAATTTATTTTAAAAACCCCAAATAATCAACAAAATGCACACATAAGATGAAAAAAGTTTTCTGTGAATTAAAGACAATGCATACACTAGTGAAAATGTAACATGTAACTGGGACACACTACACTTCTACTACTTAGAACTTAAATTTGTATAATATGGCTAAAGGGCATGATGCCTGAATACTAAAGTGGCAAAAGACTGGCTTGCCCATCCTGTCTGCTGTGCTGTACACAAGAAAAGCTAATTTTTCACTTCAAGTTCTGACACAATTCAATTAGCTTTGTAATCTATATAGTTTATTTTTTTTTTTACCCTGTGAATGAGAGCAACATTACACACTGCTTCTTCAAGAAGGTTTCCTGTATACAATAAAGCAGCTCTTAAGGTAGATGAATGTCCCTTTTTTCTCCCCCACTGTCTGCCACAGAACATGGACTCTTGTTTTTATCTGTGAAAACTCAACATTCAAATTTCCATTTAAATTTGATAAAATCTGCTGATTCAAGCTAAAAGCAAACTCACACTAAGTTTCCCTTGCTTGCACAACAGATGATGTTTATTACTCCAGTGTCTGATCTTAACCATTTAAAATTAAACACCACAAAGCAACTGCTCAGGCCTTAAAAAGTAAATCAACCCTTGTTGGAATCACTCAATATTTAAGGATCAAAGAGACTCAGAAGGAAACTCAGAGCTGGTGCAGTTTCCTTCAGGACATTAGAAAAGCTCAAGGCAGCATCACTGTCCACAAATGATCTGATTTAGCATGACAGTTTCCCAACACACTGCAGGGGGAGGCACAAGCCACTTGGCCAATTTCAGTTATGGATGACACTTAGGTCCTGGGGCAGGAAACAAACAGGTAGACAGGAAAGAAACAGACGGTCCCAAAGCAAGGGAACTAGCTTTGCTGCAAGCAGAATGGGAGATGCAACTCTTCAGGAGAGGTTTAAATATTAATAAAAATTTCTAGGACAAAAGCAGAGAGTTATGAAGGGTAACAAGAAGTAGTATGTGAAGAGGTAAAAAGCAGCACAACGGCAAAGACAGACCCAAGCAGATGAATGCAAGCAAAAAAAAAAATACTGTAAGCTGCTATTCACATCTCAACAGTAGAATAAAATAAGTATTTTGGTTGAATTACTATCAGAAGTAAAATGGAGATCATACTGGTCCAATAGTGGTTATACCAGACTAACAGATCCCTTCAGGAGTTACAGCTGAAAGCAATTGCACTTGTCAGTAAAACATCCTCTTTAAAAAGCATCAATTTCTGACCTATCCACATAATTTGTTACTTTCTGATCCACTGAGGAGAGGGAGTCATACTCGTTAAGAGATTTACGCTTCCATGTATTGTGGTTTTGTCACATCCCAGTGACAGGAATTGTTCTTCCCCCTCCCCACTCTGTAAAGTAACCTACTTCAGCAGCTCTAGGGTTTTGTGATCCAAGGCTAATCTGGGATTTCCAGTCAGGTCCAGCTCTTGTAGTTTGGGAGGCAGGTTTTCAGGCAATGTGACTTCACTCAGTTCATTGCAGCTTAGGTCCACGCACTGCAAAAGGAAAGCAGCCAAATAAGCAAGAAAATTCCACTGTCATCAAGATCATACAAATTTTGATTAAATGTAATAATGCATGTTTCATGAACAATAAAGGCTGCAACTAAGACCAAAGACCATTCATTTAAGTAAGTAGTTCTTACAAAATAAATTCATATGGCATTTAGCCATCTTACCAGATGTCTGGGACACCTAGAAATATGTTCCCTCCATTTCCATTTCTGGCCAGGCATCATCTTGTTACAAAACTAGTAAATTTTGTCTGCTCTTCACAGAGACAAAGACAGTCAGTGTATTTTCAAGTATTTAAGAAAAACCGTTACTGATCAAACCAGTCTTTTAATAAATAAAGGAAATGGAGATACAGTGGCATAGAAGTGCCTCCTCCAAAGTCAGTTTAAACCAGCAGGAGTATGAGCAGGCTCTCAGGGTTATGAATGCAAGCAGAGGGGAGGAAGAGTAGAAAGGAGAAGGGGAAAAAAAAATGGAGCCGTTTTAAACATGATTTGAATTTGTGTCATCTTAGATTAATTCATATTTAAATATAAATCAATAAAATGAGTCAAAAAGATGAAAGCTTTGATATTTCAGAAAAAAAAAAATAGAAAAGAGCAGAGAAACTTGCTGGCTATCCACCAGCTAAGCACGAATTAGCTAGAACAACTGAACTAGATAGAATGACAAAATCCTCAAACATAATTTAAATCTGCATTATGAAGATGGAAGTCAACACACAGGGAAAAATACGGCATTTTAGAACAAAACCAACTCTTCAAACCCTATTACAGGATCACAAGAGTAGCATGCACCAAAAATTGAAGAGAAAAATCATCAAGAGGACAGAACAGGCTGGTATTTAACAAAGGATAGAAGAACTACTCATATTTTTCAGAAAGACCATTTTCTACTTTCAATCTGCAAAAAGAGAAAGACTTTAAAAACTTTAATAAAACAGAAAGCTGAAAGGGGTGGAGGGAACCTTTTCCTATCTGCACATTTTGACCATTACATAATTTTCATTGATACAAGCAAAACACTTTCATTTTTGTAGATGTATTCAAAGAAATTACGTCTTGAGCTGGAAGAAGACCTAAGATAACCTAGTTAAACCTGGAAGAGAAAAATCACCTAACACTTTATTAAATGTATGCAATGGAAATAACAGATTTCCAAGCCAAATCTTGAATCCTGAGGTTGTCTAATATGGAGGCATTATCCATGAAGAATAAACTGCCGATGTTATCTAAACCTGATAAGGAAATCAGACTTTAAATCTGTCACTCAAATAAAATAGTAGACAGCTTAACAGAACAGTTATTCCAGGGAGCTTTTTTCCTCCGCGCAACTCCTTGCTGCTTCCAGAGAGCTAGTAATTACTTTGCAGATTAAAGAAGCTGCCAGCAGGCCTTGCTGTGTTCAACACCTCAATGCCATTACAAATTTGATGGAAGAGCATGCTGGAATAACTAGTATAAAGATCAGTAAAGTAATTTCATGATTCTCATTAAATGCCCAATACACCAAAGGCAGCAACCCTCTACAGCAGATCCCTTGGTCCCTAGGCATTAGTGAAGATAGCTTATTTATCAGGTTAGCCTATTCTTCCAACAGGACAAATAAAGCCTAAAAAATCCTAAGAGGACCTTTCTGCATGTCTGTTTTAAGTTTACTCCTTATTCTATTCCCCAGGAAAGCAGGAAACCATTATTTCCTAACCAATCCACATTTCCTCATGCATTATTTTAACGCAACTCATTTAGCCACACCCATGTAGCGCCAGAAGAGTAACTCCTGCAATTGCACATAGGATTTTGCCCTAGAGAGGCCAGTTGGAAGATAGGGTTTAAGTATTCCGCATTTTCTTACGCTGCATTTACAGCTTTGTAACAGTTTTGTTCATGGCCGGAAATGACTTATCTCCAGTTGTGACTGAAGGTGAGCATACTGATACTAACTTATTTAACTAGGAGAAAAACTAACTACCAGAGATTCAGTTTTTTCTTTAAGATGCTACTGCTACTAGATTTTCACTTAATTTGGATTTCAAGGTAATGTTCCTACAAAAGACAAGTTTAACTAAAAACTGTGACAAGAAACCTCCGTATCACCCTCACTGCAGCAGCCCAGCAAGACAAACCATGGAAGAGAAGCAATCGATCAGTCCACAAAAACTGGATGATATAAGTAAAGCCAGGTCGCAGGTGGGAAAAAGCAAGCCTGGGTTGCTGAGCTCTGCTCAAGCAATAAGGACTACTCAACTGGGTGACTGTGAAAGAACACCAGGATGCTGGATTTTAGAAGTGCCTTTTTTTATTCTGTAAGGCAAGGAAACTGAAGTCAAACAACAGCTGTAAGGAAGAGTCTGCTAGGGCATTGACTCAGGTGTGTGTGCTTTCAGCTGCTTGACCATTTGCAGAAGACATTTCAGTGTGCACAGATAAACCTGTCAGTATAAATAACTGTCATAAAATACAATAAAAACGCTAAAAAATGTATTGTATAAGATATCTCAGAGACATCCACCAGGCTCTAACACAGAGGACAACACATAAATTCTTCAGCGTTGACTACAGTGTGTACAAAAGGCTGAGACAACTGTTATCACTAAAATGACCTTGTGTTTGGAAATCCTGGAATTACTGCAAGTGTAAAAGCATCATCATTTATACTAGCTTTTTTTTCTGAAATTATTTCAGGCAGTATAGTAAATGCTGCTATTAACTGTTCCAGTATCACTGACTCCAAAACCAAAATGTCAGGCTAAATACAAAAGCAAATCAGTGATCACCTCGAGTTTCCCAAGAAGTTTAGCATGTTTGAATGCCACCTCAGTTAAAATTAACCATCAAATATGATGTAATTACAAAGGTGACATGAGAATATACAACTTTGTGCTTTACTACAAGCAAGTTTATTTCATCAAATGACCAAATCCTTACTTAAGCAATTAATTCTGAACTTAAACAGATACAGGGCAGGCAGCACAAGCTTGACCTCCAAACTGACAAACACCAACCCTGAACTAGAAATATCACTAGGAGTCCAGAACCGCTACGCCCAACAAGGCACCTTCCCATCTGGCAACTATATGAACTTCTCATGTAAGTCACACCCAAGCTTGAGTACTGACCAGGCATTTTCTTCCTACAAAGGTGAAGTCCTAGAGCATGGTGCCCTCTTAGGTGAAGTCACAAACACTAACCCTGCAGTCCCAAAACAATTACTGACATCCATGCCTCTTTCTTCTGCTAAAAAGAACTAAATAACTGTAGGGAGCCAGCAGGAAGAAACTACTAGGTCTTCCAATAGCATTTTTCTGCTAAGTGTTGTGGCAGAGTAGCACTTTAAATACTGACGCTTTAATAAAATATTCATCTTTCCCCAAAATGCACAAACAAAAGGAAAAAGTAGATTGTTCCTTATTGGCCTGCTTACTTTCTTTTTTTTTATTCCATTACCACCACTCTCATATTTTTAAAGAAATGTTTACTGCACAGAGTCCTGCTCCTCCACCCCAATTCTTCCTCTAAGAAAAAAGGCTTTGCTTCTGATTGATTCTAAATGGCTTTCCACTTCCTCTGGCCATTGTTCCAAAGAGGGAGGAGTATTCAAAAACCCACAAGTTTGTTTGAGATTTCCTGGCAAAACCACAAAACTCATCTTTACATGTACTCACTGTCCAACAGAATTATTGCTCCTGCTGCTTTGCCTGACCCCAGACACTGAGGCACACATGGCAGGCTGGAAACTTAGCCCTTTGACTTTACAGAGTGCCTGAAGGACACAAGTTGGTTTGACAAGTTTGGCGAATAGGTAATCAGTTTTCAGCCTCAGAGAATGACAGATTTTCTGCTGTATCACAAGATTTGTATGCTGTGAGTTAACAGTGTCCCAGTTCTGGCCAGCAGAAACAGCACACAGTGCAAATATGCTACACTATAGCCAGACAAGAAGCAGCAAGTCAGTTCACAAAAGGTAAGTAGCAGTGCTCTTCAGCATAGTCAAGCAGAGAATGTGTCCCACAAAAAGAAGTGTCAGGGAAAGCACAGATTTACTTCTGGAAACACATACAAGAGATATATTAAGCATTCCTCCAGTTGTACAAAATATTACTGCAATTAGGAAAATTAAAGTAGCTTGCCTAAGTACTCAAATCCTGTGCTCCTGGAATTTATCTCTGTCCCCAAGGCCTATCCTATTTTGCAGGTTCAGCAGTTTTTAACACGCACTCTAAACAAAGTCCATTCCTACACAATCAACCAATTGCCAAGGCAGCAAGAGTTAATTACGCATAGCTCTTGCCAAATGTTGAAGTTTTATCATAACAGACTGTCAGAGGAAGACAACTAACACTTCTATGGCAGAGGAGATAGGATCTGGTGAAGGTGAGTGTAAAATCAGATTTTGAGGTGGTTCTTCCGTTGTACTCTGAGGCAGCACAGTGGCAAATATTTTGCATATGACCTCAGAGGAGAAAGCACCTCCATAATTTCTGAGAATATACTATCCCGTAGCAATGAGACACGAGGGGAGAGCAGAATTGGAAAAGTCGCATTATACTTGCTTCTTCCAAAACACATTAATTCCTTACCTTTATTTCAGAAAGCTGCATGACTTCTGGGAAGACTTCAATGCAGTTGGAGTGAGCAATTACAGTATGCATACGTCTGCAGTTCATGATGGTTGTTGGAATGGCTTTCAGTTTGTTCCCACTAATATCAATTTCTTCCAACTCTTCCAGCTTGGCCATTTTGCTATGAAAACAAGAGTATAAGAATTTTTCTTTTAAGAGAGATGCATATTTTATTTTGAAGTGGTGATAAGAGCAGTGCTTTTCATTATTTTAAGGAAATAAAATTGCAGACTTTGATCCCTGTTCACAGCAGTGCCTGTCACCTCACATCAGTCACTAACCCAGTTGTGAAACAAAACATGTGTTGCTTCTGTCGATGTTTTGTTAATGCCACCTTTCAAATGACTTATTTTGCCTACAGTCCCCCTGCTCACCAGCTCATTGTCACTCTTTTACCTCCTTCCTTCTCCTTTCTTTCAACTCTAGTTTTTCACTTATTCCCAGATTTTCCTCTCCACCTTCTGACATCCCATTCAGCCCCTCCCCCTAATTTATTTCCCTCCATCCCCCTTTGCTGTTGAAGCACAGCTTCTCAGAACATCACACAAGGACAGAGATGTCTCTTCCTTTATTTACTGGCATCTCTTTTCCAAGGTTGTACCCCATCAGCTTTAGAGCATATCTTACACTTGAAAGACTTCTGATTAAAGTAGAGTGAATTGAAAACACAGAAATTGCTGCCAAGGCAGAATCTCCTTCTGGTGGGAGAAGTTTTTTCCCTAGTGGAGCCTAGTCTACTTCCAAAGGACATTACCAGACTGTTACGCTCACAAATCTTTTGTAAGGAGAAGGCCGCCAGGTGTTAAGCAAAGTGACCAAGCCAAGGAAAACAGAAGACTTCCTTGCTTGGCCTCAGAAGCATATTGTGGTCATGCTGCATTAGTCCGGTTGCAGAGTTTCAAGCACAATCAAAACACACTGACTGACATGTAGCACTCACTTGTCTGTGTAATGCAAGAGAGGGTAGCAACGTGCAAGACGGCATAGTAGGTGAATCCATGCACTTAAGTATCACTACATTCCAAATACAGCCTGTGCCACCACATTCTGTGCAATTTAATTCTCACTGTTAAAATGTTTCATGATGCCCACTCACCAGTGGGGCCAGAGGCAGTAAAACCAGTTACCTACCTTGCAGGGAAGCTCTGTAGGCGATTGTAAGCCATGTGCAAGATTTTCAAGTGTGGATGGCCTGTTAACAAGGGTACGCATTTATCTGTGAGGTTGTTATTGGTCAAATACAACTCCTGCAAGATGCTATGGGTTTCTTCAGAAAGAGTGGCTGGAGGAAGCGTTTCCAGTTTGTTGGCAGAAGCATTAAGAAATCTCAGGCTGCAAAGAGAAGTCGCATAAGGGAGTTCAGTGAAACATTCTGAAGGTTTTGTCTAGAAGTATACATAAAATCTCTATTTTAAAGAGTTAAGATAGTTATAAAGCAGAGGTCAAAAGCAACAAGTTCACAACAACAGAAAGGAAGACTGAAAGTCTAGCATTACATGAACAAAATGTCTGATCATGTTTTTACATGAACACATTTGTACAAACAAAACATCAGCAAAATCAGTATGTCAAAATGCCTCTACCCCCTTATCAAGACCTCAGGTACTTCCAATATTACCACAGATGTACCTACAGGTAAGAGCAATAGCAAACCACATCATTTCCATATTCATTCCACATAAAAATGAATTCAGAATTCATCATCAATGAACCATAAGAGTAAAGCTGCCCTTCAAGTGACTAAAAGTATCGCTGATAAAAAAGCCAGACAATTTTTCATTATTTTAAATACCAACAAGGGTGCAGACAGTATTTTGTTTAAACCTGCAGGCCTAAAAGTAACTACAAAATATGAAAAAGTACCCTTTGAATATCTGTATAACTAAAGATGCACCAATAAAAAAAAAACCAAACCAAACTGAGACCAAGCAATAACTTGCCTTTTAGATTTTAAAGAGAGAAAGTGCAAATAGTAAATTAAATTTTAAAAGTTACATACTTGCTTGCTGATGTATGCAGCAAGACAGCCAGATCTCTACATAGTTCCCAAGTGCCCTTCCCTTAATCCTTGAAGTAGCAGAAGCCCTTTCAATATTTTTTTCAGTCCCACCACAAGCAGCAAGCACAGAAGTAGCACAGAAATTAAGTTATTATTTCCAAGATGGGAAAAAGACCTGTTGAGGTAGTCACTGCCCACTCCTGCCAGTCAAGTTCTGCAGGCAGAGGACTGCTGTTTCGTTAGGGAGTTTGGTGATCACAGCAACACTGGAGGAATACACACTGTAGACATCTTGAAGGCTAGAATTCACAGAAGCAATTCCAAAGAAGTGGAAAAATAAGGCTATTTATCCTTTGGTAACCACCTCTGGCATGACCATGTCTTTTCAAGACAAGTAAGACCTCTCTCTTCCTTCCTCCCCTTCTCAGAAAAGGCTGTCTTAAGGGAACTTGTGGTACAGAAGTTAGTGTGTGCCTGCCAGTCTGTGTTCAAACCAGGCTGTACTGCGCCTACCAACTAATGGGAATGGGCAGCTGCAATGGGCAAGCTGCATTCAAGAAACAAGACTCAAATGAGCTGGCTGAAGCCTATAAAGCCACCCATCAGGACACAAAAGGTAGGTGTTCTCCTGTCATTGATCTTAAATGATAAAATATTAATAGCTTCTCCCATGCATGCAGGAATCCACACTGACCTTTAAGGTCTATTAATGAATGAAATGGATTTGCAAGAGTTGCAGCTGGTTGAAACTTGCTCAGCAGCAAATAAGAGTCAGACATGCTACAGAGGAGTCACGTGGAATGCCAAAGGATTAAAAAAAAACTACTATTTTCATTAGAAGCAAAAATCTCTCAGCACTGCACAGAACTGAAACTAGGTTAGCTGTTTTACACAGACAGAGGAGTCCACTTTGGAGAAACACAGTTTAATCCTCAGGCTCATTCATTATTCACGAGGGTGGTAAAACTCCAGAGGAGGAAGGGAGGAGAGGGAGGATTCATACAGAGAAGGGAATAAGCATCAGAAAGGGTTTTATTTATTTATTCTAAAAAGATCCTGCTCAATTTCGCCCTTTAGTTATAAACTAAAATATATATTAAGCTTATTCAAAGTTGGATTATTAAATTGAAGCGTACCACATCAACAGTTCCTGTATTTAATTAAACACCAGCAAGCACACCTATTGCTAAAGTACAGGCAACTATTAGTTTGGCAGCTTCAATCTAACACACATGGTAGTCTTCTCTGTCCACAAAAAGAGCACTTGGATTAGCATTAAAGCCACAATATCTCTTGTACCACTCATAGTACAAAATGGTTGTCTTCAGCTCAGTCTGGAAAGGCTTAACTAATAAAAACTTTAAGGCAGCTGGGAAAAGTGAGTTTTCATGGGAATGGGCATGAGGAAGTGTGGCAGCAAAGCATCCCCCAAGAAAGTGCATGTTCCACTACTCTGAAGAACAACATGTATTTTACTTATGTTCTTCCAAGCTGCAGCAGAATAACCTGGAGTGTTTCACAGGTACTTTCTTTTAATAACCAAAGGGAGCCAAACATCATCCTAGAGGGCATCCTATGGCTATGAAGTTCAGAAGAACGTATATTCGCTCCAGTACAGCTAGCCGAAAACACTGCTGAAAGCTTTGAGTAAGTAAAGGTATGTTGCTCTGATGAATTTAATAGAGTTTACTATACTGAATCAATTTTAAATTCAAAAGAAAAAAATGAATCAAACAAAAGCTCTTGCATGTTCTTAATAAACTTTCAACATTGGTGAAATACAACAAGAAATTTCAAGCTGTTCCCTTACTGGTATTAAAAGTGGCTGGAATCTGCATATTCCTGCCAAAAATGGGTTTTAATGCATTTTCCAATGGGAAAGGGGGAAAAAAAGAGCTGTTGCTCTGTACCCTCTCACCCTTCTGCCAAATCTTCCAAAGAGTGATATAACAGTGTTGGAAATAAATCCCCATCACACTGACCTACAGTTTAGTGCCTTGATGTGAGCAAGGTTTAGGTGGCTAAGCAAAATCACGCCAACAGTCTCGAATGGGAACCCTGTGGTAGCAGGGTATCTCACCTACCCCATACATAACAACTCATAGCTGGGTTTCACTCAACAGTCAGGTTCAGGATAGTCTCATACTAATCTCCGTCTGTAGTTGGCAACATTAGAATTAAGTTAACTTTTAAGAAAAGAGTACGCTGCTTCTTTACATGTTCTTTTTGATGAGCTGTAACATTAAAACGGTAAAAACATTCCAAAACAACCATTCTTTCAAGATATTCTCTGGATTTAAAAAAAAAAGAAAAAGGATACCATTCCTTGGGCATAGAACAGAATGAACCAGCAAACCAGCAGATTGCTACTGCCAAAGCTTTGTCAATTTTGTGCTATAATTTTATGTCAAAAAAAAAAAAGCCACAACAAAACCCAAATGTGTACTTGGCCATCAGGTTTTTCCTCACACTGATTTAACACAGAAGTCCTCCTCCATGTTACTTCCACTCTCCTCTTTCTTCATCCTTATGAAATGCACCAGCTACTGCCTTGGAAGGCAAATCTTACAAATGCCCTCCAGAGGAGTGGAAATTTACTTGGGCACAACTGTTCCCATCTCTGTTGTGCATGGACTTTAATTGATTCATGTTCCTTGAAGATATCCCACTCATATTGCTTATCAGATGGAAGCAGAATGTCAAGTATTAAAGCTCAGTCCAAAATTAATTGTTTCCCTTTCCAATTTCACCCACACACTATACCACAAGCTCATGAAAAAAGTACAGCATCACTACAAAAACCTGAATTCAGCAGCCTGCGCACATACCAGAGCATAATATAGCAAGGAGAGCATGAATTAACAAGTACTAAAAGAGTGTTGGAGATTAAGAAAGAAACGAAGGCGCTGGCAGGAAGATGCCAGAATTCTACAGCTTGACAAGGTGCAAATTCTCCTCTGGGGTAATAATATAAACATTAATCTCCAGCCGGAATAGGTCACCTTTGGTTTTATGGGGTTTTAAAGTAAAATCCCTTGTTGGATTTAACTTCTCCAAGAGACAAAACAGAAAAAAAAGACTGTCCCAAAGAATAGGCTAGAATCAAGGACATGGATCTAACCAACAAAACAGACCTAATATACAGTCACATGCATTCCCTATTTAAACCCAGAGGATTCTGGTCTCAATTTGAACTTCCAATTGCAGAGGAAGAAAATCTTCTACTGAAAATTGCAAAAGGTTTGGAATTTGTTTAACAACAATGCCTCCTCCCTCTAGCACACACAAAAGCTGAATACAGACAATTGTAAGAATACAGGATCCCCCAATTCCTCACTATCTTCTGAGATAGTTTGACAAACCTGGCTTGCTGGTAAGACACAGCCACCACTGAAAAATTTAAGTTCTTTAAAAAGCTTAGGAATGTTCAACATTAAAAGAAGCGACACAGACAACTGCATCCAATGGTGAAGCAGCAGCAAATCAAAACCACTGTGCTTAGCTTGGAAGTACTGATAAGAGTTGGAAAGAATACCGCAGCTGCAAAGAGAGCATATGCGAAGAAATCAAGATCTCCAGTTTGGCCTGTGCCCCAAGATCTCCATCAGCACAGAGCAATCAAAATACAAAATTTCTTCTCCAGTCCCTTCTGCAGATACATGCCCTCAATCTCTGACTGCCTAATCCTAAAATAATTTATGGTTGTGGTAGCAGGTGTGTGAGGAAGAATTCTGTAAGATAATTGTGACTGGGGGGAAAAAGAAAGGATAAAAATAATCAAGGCAGTTTTGCCAGCCCATGCAGAAGAGAGTCTGTCTTCTTTAAAAAAACAAAACCCATAAAAAATGAAAGGGCGGAAACATTCAAGTGAATCCCCTTCCTGTTGATGGACTGCCAAAAAAACCACTTAACTGCTGCTGTGTCCTCAGCTCTTACTTTCTAACCTATCTTTAGCTGTTTCATTAAGTGGGATTTCCCCAGTTTCTAATATATCTAGTTGGAAACCCTAACCTACCAGCAAAGAAGCAATACAGCTAAGCATTTCTGCAGCAAAAGTGTGTGCATCAAACACTCAAATAGCTCTTTGCATTCATTTGACTTCGTTTCCTCCCTCACTTCCCCTGCATCCAGGACAGGACTGAATATTTGCATCAAAAAGAAGCAGCCACAGTGGGTGGAAATAGCAAATATCAAACAAGTTTAACTGGGTCACCTTCCAGAACTCAAGCAAAAATAAAAAGAAAAACACCAAAATGAAATAAATCAAAAACAAACAGAAAATTCAGAACAAATAAGAACAGCTGAACAAAGCTGAAAACAAGAATCATGCAGATTAGAGCCTAGACGGGCTCTGAATATCTGACACTGGCTTAGCCACCACAGCTGGCTGCTACCAGATACTATAAAACAAAACTCAAGGTTTAAGGTGTGCAAATCATAGCTACACTTCTTCGCCATACAGCTGCTTTGATGGCTGTTTTAAGGGTTTATACTGAAAACATTCACCCTAACGACAAAAAAAAAAAAAAAAAAAAAGCGCTTAGGCAAGATGCAAATCCTCATCCCTCACCACCATGTCCCCATTTTTAACCCCCCAACCACTGCCACTGCTTTTCTATCACACCCAGCTAAAGCTCTTGAATGCTTGCTCATCTTACCTAAACAGCATTTTGTACAACAGTCTTCATGCCATTAAATTAAACAGTAGTTTGCTGCAAGCTGGTCAAGGAAGGCAGTGAAAAATCTGCATGAGAATTGGACAGAGTGGGAAAGGCACTGCAGCAGATGAAGCAGTGGATAGAAAGGAAAGGCTGCAGGAATGCAGGTGCACAGGAAAGGTTCAGGTCTCAGCCTGGGAGTATATTCCCTATCACCCGTAGCACTTGCATGAATTCTCTGTTTTTGCAGCATCTGGTAATGAGAAATGAAGAGATTATCTGGCTGCCTCTGTGGCACTCATCTTGCCAAGAAAATCCCCACCCTACAGGAGAAATCCTTGCTAACAGGATCAAGATGTGCATACTTTCAGTGCAATAAACAGAATCAAGTTCTGTCTTGGTCAGAGGAATGTTTCATAGGCTAGTCTTAAATTTCTCCTCAAGTAACAGTTTAAAATAGAAAATTAATTAAAAACCAGCACAACAAAATATCCCTAAATTATACTCTTCAACAGAGAAAGACACCTTTTTATTGGTTTTTGAAGGATTAAGGCAGAGAAGCAACGTTTGTTGATTCTTCTATGAAGACAACAGAAGTTTTTCCAGTATTTTTTCCTCTTTTTTTTTTTTTTGATGGAAGTGATATTTTCTTTGTGCACCAATGCACTGATTTCCTTCCCTTCCTCAGATGTTCTAGATGTCAAAGCCCACCAGTGCTTGTTCTACAGTTCGCTCAAGGCACTTCACACCCACTTCTTCGAAAAAGTGTTTATAATTCACAGCATGAGGCTTCATAGTCAGACAAGATAACATCTGTCAGTTGCAAAGACCTGAGTACCTTTCCAAAAAAATAAACTAATCTTTCAAGGCTGCAAAAGGTAAGTCATTTTATGGAGAGATAAAGGTGCTGTAAGGTAAAGTGATTTGTCCAACATTACACGCTGGGTACAGACCATGGCAGACCACTCAGGAAACCCAGTTCTCTTGGCACGTCTGGCAGAACAGATTGTGCTTCCCAGGGAATGCTTGGAGAAGAGAAGCATTTACCTTTTTTAAACAAAACAAACCCCCAAACACCTTTCCCTGGTCCAGATCCATTTCTGTTGACACTTAGCTGCTGACAGATGCAAACATTTGAAAACAAAATAAAAGATGTTTCCTGTAGGAAATTCCAAACTTAAAACTCAGACCTTGCGCACTAATCTGCACTGATGTTTTCCTTCACGGTTATCACTTTTGCAGCAGTTGCAAGAGTACCAGCATGGACAAGCCATTTGCAACCCAAGTCATCTAAACCACTAAAGGGGTAAGGAATAAGGGAGAAAACCCCAGCCAAGCCAAATATTTCTATTAACATCACAAGCGAGGGAGGCTGCAGTAGTGATGAGATGCCAGAATGGGTAAACTGTTCAACTCCTGCAATAGTTCTTGACTTTGCTAATACTAGTAGATTTTGAAAACATGTGTCCTGTATGGCTCAAAAGCTGCAGAACATCAAAGCTGCAGCAGGGTAAAAAATCCTCAAGCCTGAATCAGCCATTTAATACCGTTATTCAATATATTTTTTTTTTTAATTCTGCCTCTTCTCAGCACACTTTTAGCAAATTTCTGGGAATCTACCCCTAATTCTGGTTTTAGTCTGTACTTGTTCATTTTGTCATCCCCTCCAAGAAATAATGAAGAGCTGTCTACAGTTTTACAGCTCAGTTTAAAAAGACAAGCTGCAATACAAAAAAAATCAGGTTCTCTCTCACTGCCAAAATCACACTGATCTACATCTTAGATCTACAACCTGTTTTTCATAGAAATTTTACAAAATTATTTCTCTCTTTGCTTTCAAAGATGCCAGTAGCTTTCTGAAACTTAAAGGTTTCTTTCCCTTCCAGGTTAACAGATAGAAATTGCCACTTGGGATCTGTAAACAGCGCCTTTTTTTTAACCTAATTTTGCAGCTTCCTGTAAAAAAAAAACAAACCCTTTTTTACAAGGTTTCATTTCTGAAGTTCATATAATCTCTAATGTACAATGTTTTGAAAAGTCATCCACAAGACAATTATAGCTGTTGATGTGAAACATCCTTGCCACATAAACAGACTATGAATCTTACCACTTTTAAACAGAAATGTGCCAGATAATCTCCATTATTACAGTAGTAACATTGTTAAATTTCAATAGTTTGACTGTACTTTTATGTAAAGTCTCAGCTGAAGCAGTATTGAACATCAGAATAACTTTGCTGGTAATTTATTCCTATTCCAAAGGTTGTAGCCCTACACAGACTTGAATGTGGACAGGTATGTAACAGTGTTAAAAAAAAAATCTAAGTAAAAGAATTATTTAATTACTTTAAAGGTTCTTTAAGTCAAATAAAGGTTGAAATGTCATACTGGTTACCTTTTGAAAGATAATTTTTAACCTGAATGATAAATTCCTCAGAACATTACTGTTCAAGAGTAACTCAAGAGATTATTTAGAAACTATCTCAACCACCAACCTAATTCTCCCAGTGCTGTGAATCCCAGGAAATTTAACGAGAGGTTCATGGTAGAATGAACAACAGTATAAAACTAGGTGGCCTGCAGTACTCTTAATTGGGTGAGGAGCTGCGACGGTGAGATCACCACTACTTTTGCTTCTCCACCTCTCAAAAAACCCAGGAGCTAGGTGTTCCTTTTGCCACAGCAAGGATCAGAAATAAAACCCCACAGCACACAATTGCACTGTCTGTTAAATTATGCATGGGTCAAGCCCTCAGAAATCCCATTACTGTATGTGGAAGCACAGCGGTACAAGGAATGTTGACACCAAGCAGGGCAAGCCCATCCACCATCCCCAGACTATGCTACTTTACAGGATATGTGCATACCCAGGAAGAAAGATTATGAAGACTCTGAGACTAAAGCATAAAAATAAAAAAAATCCAGAAAGCAGATCAAGTGGTGACACCAGCTAAATCAGTGACAAACATTTTAAAAGCATAAAAGAAATTCACAAAGCAAGGACAGAGGAATAACTGAGTTATTCTGACAGCCTTATGCACAGATTTTGTTTTGTTTGACAGGTATAAATAAGCTCTAGCCTCTGACTGAAGGGGAAAAAAAAGCTTTCACACTCCATCAAACAAGCCTAAGAAATAGCTATTTAAAGAAACTGCCAACTAACCCATCTCAGTGTATGTAGTAGAAAATAGCATGTGCTTCATTTTACAGCTAGATTTCAAGAAGTAGGTGTTCAGCAGTAGCTTGGTGGGGAAAAAGAAGCAACCATATAAGGCAACAAAACCAGAATAAAAAAGAATGTGTTTTGGTGAGTTGGGCAGACATCTGTTCTTACCACACAAGGCTTGGCAACTTTCAAATTAGGGGGACCTCAGATTACCCTTTCAGCTAGGCAGTTAACACACAAAGCAAGGTTCCTCACACGTAAGTCAAGATCAGATTTCTTTATATTTACCTGTCTGCCTTCAAAAGCAAGTTAGATGGCAGTTCAAGAAGCTGGTTGTGTTGCACGTCCAGGACTTCCACTTGTGTTCGCTCGAGCCGATCTGGTAGTCTTCCTAACATGTTATGTCCTGCCAGCAGCTTACGCAAGCTACTATTGTAAAACAACCTTGAGAGAAATAAAAAACACCAAAAATAAGAAAAATCTAAACCAAAGAGTTGCTTTGAGAATTTAGGTGCACTATCACAGTTTATTACAAGAAAGTGATTCAGTCAACTGATTAGCAGACATGGTATTAATTACGCACAGATCCAAGAATGTCTTCCCACTCTCCACCAACTTCTTGAAAAGGTTGTTCAGAGACAGGGAAGGAGGTTTAAGGATGATTCAGGAGTGAAACTAGTGAGAGAGGGTTATCTTACTGCACTGTATAAAAAAACATGAACACAGAAGCCTGACAGTAAAGGAGGTAATTGCTAACAATGGCTACAGAAAACTGCACATGTGGGATCCCCTTAGCTAATGGAAGAACTTCAGAAGTGTGGGTGAAATCACCAGTCACCCCACAAGCTTCATAGTCCTCTATTCATCATGTGCTGACTCATAATCCAATGCAATTCCCCACCCTCCCATTTTCCTTTTCTGTTAATACCAGACTAACATAAAGCCTCCTTTCCAGTTCTACAGCAAATGAAATTTATCTAATCGGCTTTACTTTCTTGAGCTTTTACAAGCAATAGATGACCTGGAGTCTCATCCCCCTGCTCCATTTTGGGGGGGGGGGGGGGGGGGGGCTGGGAGAGAAGGGAAAAGGAGAAGAGAGCAATGTAAAGAGACAAAAACAAACAGCTGTTCTGACCAAATAGTAAAGCTAACATTTTCAGTAAAACACATAATAAGGAGTTTAAAATCTGCACCTAAAGACCTCAAAAATGGAGCAACTCTCGATTTTGAACAGGATCACTTCCAGCAAATTAAGAAAAAAAGATTATTCTTCATCTGCCACCTGTCTTACATTCCTGCTACCGTACTGTTTAATCTGGCGAGCCTGGGCATTATGCTGACCTGTTTCAATCAAAGACTCTAAAATTACTCAGCATTAAAGCAAAAATCTTCTTCCCTCTGTTACAATGACCCAAATATACATAAAGAGCCTCCCTGCCCCTTCCCTACAGCACATCAGGTCATCAGATTATTGTGCCAAAATAATCAATGAAGTATGCGGAGTATTTTCCCCTTGACAGATACAGTCATATTCCGTATCTGTGTGCCAGTGTTAACAGTTATCTCAGTCGGCTGCATCGTCTGTGTTATGACCATGGATACAGGTCAACAGCCAGACATATCATTCCAGAAGGCTCAACACAGGGTGAAAAGACTTACCATACAGCAATAAACTTATCTATCATGTTTTCATTATTTAACCATTTTTGTTTCACTCCTCTTTTACTTGAAAATATCTCTGTTATGGATTTGCCTTTCTATTCTATTTCCTTTCCTAATCAATACTGGCTAGTATCAACACCAAACCCATGAAAAAGCAGAACTGGCTGACAATGTCTCAAAAAAAATTTTATCATTTTGGGGGTTTTTTTGGACAGGTGGGGGCAGTGCCATTTTAAAATAACAAAAGTTCAAATCAGGGCAAAAAAATTAGCAATTAGCTTTTTCATGAAAATAAATTTTATAAAATAATTCAGAAGAACTGTGTAAGTGTGTGGGTTTTTTTGGTTTGTTTGGTTTGGGTTTTTTTATTGTTTAGTCTTACTTTACAAGTTACAGAAGCACCAAAGGAACTGGGCTGTCTGAAGGGAGACTGAACCACCAACATTTAACTAAGCAAGCTCTTGATGAGCCTGGGACACCTAGTTCCCAAGCTGGGTGGGGAAACATGACTCTGGGACTGTTCTTCCCCATGGGCAGCTTCCTCATTTGCCAAACTACCACTGGAAGCATTGATGGGATCAAAAAATTCTAAGGACAATCACATTGCTCAGCATCAGCATCTTCTAAGAAACCATGGTTTGGTGAAAGCATTCAACCAATTCCTTCAGTAAGCAACTGTTCAGGAGAACACAATGTTGAATAGAAATAGATCTTTCTAAAAAAATAAGACAAAAAAGGAACAAAAATACATACAGACATCTGTTCACTGGTAGCAGCAAGGTCATTTTGGCAACTCTTAATTGAAGCATTTTCCTTTTCTTTGGGGAATCTTTGGCAACATCAGTTTTATGACAATGAATTGCTCTGCATAGCAAAGACTATGTTTTTTGTTATTTTTCAAAGCAGAAATGGCTGCATTACAGCCAAACCTACATCGTTCCCATTTTCTTTGAGGCAAACATTAGTAAACAGTCTTCTATCTCAACTGCTTCAACTCTTGTCTTCAGGGATTGTTTTTCTGTTTCAAGAGGCAAAAACACATAGCACCAACTGTAGTTTGTTTAGATTAGACACAACCTTCAGCCTTCCAGGAAACTGCTGGTCAGTCAAGGCTTGAACGTTTGTGGTTAGAGTTGCAAGCACCCTCCTAGGAGAGTCCTGCTCACTCCACAGGTTTTCAGAGTGCTATTCCATGTAGAAGGAAAAGCACACAGTGGTGCACATGAATACGATGGGCACCAGTATTTACCTCATACTTAACAGCATAGGTCTATGTGCCCAAGTCACTTCTATTTGAATCCAGACCCAAATTTCCCAAAATTTAACAGACATTCAATGCCTGTGTTTTGAACTGGGCCTTAAAACTGAGCTGACATATTAGGAGCTAAGCTATCTAGACACATACTACAAAGAAGAGTTTTCAAGGATAAACTATTTCCTGGAGTTAATGATAAGAAGTCAGGAGAGACAAGTGGGATGTTGACCATACCTAATTTCAGCTAATCATTAATCTCCCAAAGATATCCGGTATGCCTTGCAGTTATGAAGTGCAAATGAACTTTTGTTGCCCCCACCTTCTGAGTGGGCAGTTTCATTTTCGGTGAAAAAACAGAGGGATTAATAGTCTGCACACTAGCCCATTAGTTTGCTTGGTAAATCTCCTCACATCCTTTTCTGCCCACATTTCTGAAATCTATTCTCTTCCCGCTTCTGACACTAGAACTGCCAGTTTACACCATACCGCACATTCATCTAACCCAGACAAAACTATCCTTTTTTGTTTCTGATGCTCTTTCATGTTGTACAGCTCTGTAAGGAAAATATTTAATAGCTCAGCATATACTAGCTGTCTACAATCTTCAATGGCTCTGCACATCCCCATGCAATTTCACCCTTTGTGCCTAGTATGTTCTCCCTCTTTCTCAACAACTCTTTTGAAGCATACAGAGCAGCCAAGAGTGACAGCTGTCCTCCAGTGAAGTCAGGGACTTAATTATTCATACCAGCATTTGACCAGTATATTCACCTGGTACAGGTGTCTCTAGGAAAAAAAAAAACAAACTAGTAAGAGCTAGTCATTATTTAAACTCAACTCCTGTTTTCTTTCCTGTTCACCTGTTTTCCTATCATTTGTACTTAATCAATTTTAAGTTTAGACTCCTGGAAAAAGAGAGCCTTGTAGTGAAGGCAATCACTCTACTTGCAGGAGTTTGCTAGCTTGATGAGGCTTTACCTTCTCCTCCCAACACATTTTCACTGAAAAGGGGTTGTGAACTGATGTCTCTAGGCACCACTGAAACTAAGTTACAAGATCTGTATCTCTAAAGTGTCATGCAAAGTTATAGCTGTAAATATTTAATATTCAGTATTAAAAATGAAGGGCTTTCCTGCCTGAACAGCCACATGAACAGCTTCAAAACTTCCACCTGGAGTTCAAAGGCACTGTTTTCTCTGCATGAAAGTAAAAGAAGAAAGGCTGGGTGGAAGCTTCAGGCATGACGACACCCCACAAGGTAAAAATAAAATCAAACAAAAGATAAAACGAGCTTGACAGTCACTGAAACAAGCTAAACACTGAATCAGCAATTATTTCTGAATTGCTTATCCTGTTCCACATTGTGCAACTGGTCTGCAAGACTCACCGGGCAGGCAGCTCACGTATCTGATTGTGGCCAACATCCAACACTTCCAGTTTCCTGCTGTCACATACCCACTCAGGCAGGTTTTCCAGGTGATTTCTATGAATAAAGAACAAAGAGCTAAAGAACTAAACGATAATCAAGATGTAAAGGCTATTAAGAATACTGCCTCAAGAGAGGCACAGATACCTTCATGAAATAAATCTGCTCAATAGTATGTTTCGTATGAGACTATCACCCCTCCTTCTCTCAGCGCAGTAAGGTCCTGAGTAAGGTCCTTATCTCCCTAGATGTACAGCCACAAAGAAAATGAAAAAAAAAATGCTGCTTCCAAATTATTGGGAAAGGAGTATTAAGAGCATCAGAGTATCAATGATGCAGTCTCTCCATAAAGAATAAAATTTGTGAGATGCTCCTCAGAAGATATTCACACCCTACACAGTTGAAACACACCTCTTCGGGTTTCAGGATTAAATTTATGGGGGATCACTCTAGCACTCTTCAGCTATCTCACTGAAAAAAGCAAAGGCTTTTATTTTTTTGTAATCTCTGTGAAGTTAAGCATTTTGCTTTTCTTGCATTTGTCTTCACAGAAGCTAAGCCCTCTAAAAAATACATTCTTAGAGGTAAGTTCTTCCAAATATTGCACTGAAAACATGTAGCTAGGCACAGTGAGGCACCCTTGTATCCTGCTTAAAGACAAAAATCAGCATCACAGAACACAGGAAAGATTTTGTGTGTGTACGTTCACATAACTTACTATTTCAGTTAGCATACACAGATGCAAAACTGGGCATCACATAATATTCAGGCACTTGTAGACTTGAAGTTCAGGAACAGGACCCTTAGACAGCACGAACATAAATCTACTCTCATGGTCAGTCATGTATTTGTATCCTATAGTTTATTCATGCAGTAGCCTTTAACCAAAATACACAATAGCAACCCCTCATCCTCAGATAGCTTCCTTTTTGATCTCAAACCAATTTTCCAAATTCCAAGCACACCAAGAAGCTAATGACACCTTACCCATTTATTTACAATGCCATCACTGAACTGAGGCACAAAAAGGGTGATCAAAATCATGCATTCTGCACCAATTTCATTTAGAGCTAAATGGAGAACACAGCTTTACAAAGAATGCTTTTCAATAAATCACAGTTCAGTCACACTTCTGTTACATTTAGGTGCAGAATGCAAGTAACTCATGGTTGATGAAACTTTGAAGTTGAAAGCCACTTGCCAAGGTTAACTCACTAATTGTTATGATCACCCTCAACAGCTTAATCGTGCTTTAAGCAGGCTTTTTAATGAATGAGATTATCACTTCAATGCACAGATGAGTAATTCCTTAAATAAGACAGACATTAAGCATATGTATAAAGTGTTTTCCAGATTCAGTCCCTAAATTGTAAAGCAAACAAACCCACCCCTTTTTCCATTTCTTTCCTCATCTCACCTCCCTCAAGGTGAGAATTACAGATGTGTTCAAACGGCAGCTGCAGACATCCCTGCAGCAACCAAGGCCACAGAGAACACGGATGAGCTGCAGGAGCTGCCGAACTGAAGAGTAAAATATCAAACCATCACCTACGCTGGGCTTGTGACACAGACATTCAGAAAGAAACTTCTGCATATGTCTCTCATTGGTGCACGTTTGACTCACTATGTTATGTCTCTATAAGATAGGAAATGTTTAAATCAGGGAAACACTTTTTCTTCAACTATGAAGCCACATTTTGCTTTTAGGACTGAAAAAAAAAAAGTCAATCTATAAAAAGCAAACAGGGAAGAGCTGGACAGTAGGAAAAAGCCCATTCTTTAACTCTGAAAAAATCAGTCTTCTCATATCTCAAGGTACAATTCCTGTTCCCACTCCCTTACAGTAAAATACTAGTGAATGTCATTTTTCCATAAGCTTCACTGATGTAAATTTTAAAGGCTCAAGAAAAAACACTCTTACCGAGAAATATCCATATAAGCCAGGCAATTGGGAACTGGATACACATCAAGGTGAACAAGTTCTAGGGGGAAAAATACATAAAAGTGGTGATAAAGATTTGCACCTAAATGGCTGTTCCGTAAGAGTTCCTTTAAGCAGCTAACACCCAGAGATATCAGAACAAGTCAGTAACCTAAAAAAATTGAGGATCTGGATCTTTGTGAACTAAGTTTTGTTTCTTTATTGTCTGAGTACATTTGCTCTATTACATTGTACTTGCTATAACAGATACTGCATAACTGATCAGAGAGGAGAAACTGAATGATTTTAAAAGTTTCATGGCAAATTCTCATTTTTCCATTTTTGTCCCTGAGCTGTAACTTCACCTCCATCACCCTCTGCCCAGTACAGTCAGTCACAAACCTGCTCTACTTTTTTTTTCCACTGGTCACTAATGGTACAGGCACAGGAAGGAAGACTCCTCACTCTGGAACAGCAAACTACAGAATACTCCAGAGTCCTCCAGGTCATGTCAAGATTGAGAGCATTTTTCAACACATTACATGAGCCTTTGCATGCCTGTGGAGTTCCTGGTTGCAGGCAGCCTTACAGACCTTCCATATCATCTCAACTACTGTTAGCAATGTTTTATTTTGATTGCTTCAATAATATTCCATATCCTAAGGTTTTTAGGTAGCTAATGCTTAGAATGAAGGTTGAAACAAAACCAGCAGCCATTTATTTAAGCCTATATAAAATCAAGTAAAGTGAAAGTGTAACAAGCATCATGGTTGCTTTGGAAGATAAGACTAAAACAAGATGGCTGCAGGTGTAAAGAGAGGATATCCAGGAGGAACAGCAAGACCAAATAGACAGTTGATTGCAAGATACAGGTTGACTTGGGTTCTCAGCTCACATTGCACAGCACATGCTCAGATTATGTTAACTTTTCTCAGCTACAGAGAGCCTGGCATGAATACTTAATGAGGGCACAGGCTTGGATATCGTTGACAGCCTTTTAAAGGCAGTTCAGACTGTTCATCAAATTCACAGCTCTCTGAGCTTGCATTTTATTTATTCCATACCAAACTACTCCAAACAATAAAAATGGTGGTGAAAACTGAGTATTTTAAGTAATAGCAGCTTCCAGAGACAGATCAAACAAATCCTATTCATGGAACACAGGAGTTACTCAACTGGAAAAGGCTGCATTATTTTTATTACCAAATACAAATTAAGTTACTCATAGATTTTATAGCTTTCTGGCCAGAGTAAACAGCTAGAGATAGTAGCAAAAATATATATTATTTTAGTTTGTCTCACAAATAGCCACTTGTTCAAACTTTCTCAACTCTAGGGAAAAGCAATAAATTCCTTATTTGCCTTAAAGCAACATAGTAATACAGCCCAAAGAACTGACAACTTCAAGACTCCTCCCTGCTGGCATAGAGAGGAATTTCAGCAGAAATTCTAAAATTTTCAGTTTTAAGACCCCCAAATCAGTAGTCCAGTGTTATCTGAAAGTCACTTCTGAAGCTCAGAACTGCCGGTAGCATGACACAGCGCATGTGAAACCCTTTTATCCAAGGGTCATGTCAAGAGCCTCCTTACTCCTCCTGATGATATCCGCTGCACTCCACAAGCATCCCACTGAGAAACAGGTACAAAACCAGAAGTCAGATGACAACACCACAACTGCCCTGAAAACACACTTACCATTTGAGGAAGCATACAGCGCTTTGAGAAAATATCCACTGATTTTGAGGGTCACCAGTTGATTCCGTTCACAGTGTAACACTTCAACATTGTTAAAAACTGTTGCATCCAGCTCCCCAAGTTTGTTGTCTCTGAGATCCAGTTGGGTCACATGATGCAGAAAATCTATTTCATTGACCTCCAATCTCCTAATTGAATTCAGTCTTGCAGACAAAAAAGGAGATTAAGTGTAGTTACGCTGCAACCTCCTGCTAACAAACCAATGCTCATTCTACAATCAGTTGCACTGGATTAAACTAGCATACTTCCAGGTTCTGATCAAGGTTGATTTTAAACATTTTCCCCTTTGTTACGGTATTTTAAAAGCAGGGTGGATCCACTTTGTCATTTTATCCATCATGACACAGAAATGATGACATCAAGCTACTTTCTACACTACTTTGAAATCTACTGATAGGAAGCTCTGCAAGAAGGTAAGTATTACTGTGTCTATAAAAATAAAAGATGATCTAGTTGTTACTTGTGCCAATAGTTTGGAGAAAACCTCTACAGTTCCTGCTGGCCTATCATGAGCATCTGCTGGAAAAGCCTGGCAGATACGACTAACCTGCAGATATTGGGAGTCTCTTGCCTTACTGAAACGACAAACTGGGATATATCAGTTCCCATATATTCACCTCCTCTGTCAACATGTTTCACAGCAAGCAAATTCAGACACCTGAAAATGGGTGCTGAAAGAAAAGAAAGCAAAAGCCCAAGACGAGCGGGTCTGCCAGATGAATAGAACAGGTTTTATCACGTCTTCACTGCAGTACATCAACACAGCCAATACTCAGTAATCTCCCCAGAAGTTACAACTGAATGAGATGATCTCTAACCCAGTAATGTTTGAGACTGCAGAGCACTCCTAAGAGTTCAGTTTCAAATTCCCAGCTCTGATCAGAACACTAAAATCAGTATAGTAACTTCCGCTGGCCCATTAAGCCTACTTAGTGAGGATAAGGTACAACACCTAGAGTTCTGTTGTGGCTCTTGCTTTCGGAGAGCTACCTTCTGTGTAGCAGTTGTGTTTTCAGAGTAGCTCTGTTTTCCAGTTACAAGAAAACAGGTAATATGCTCCCTCCGACACCATAGCCCAATTTTCCTGTTTTCAATTTACAAGCAGTGCTTCCTTCTGATTTCACTGAAGCAAAGCACTCCACTGTGCAGCAAGTACCACTTACAAACACGTTTGACATTTACTATTCCAGGTAGCATTACAAAGAACCACTGTTCACAGCTTGGTGCAGAAAGGATGCGGCAGACAATGAGACGGCTGGAACTGCACCACTGGAATTCACGGTCAGCTCAGCCACAGCATCCCTACTCTGATGCAAATTTATTTATTTATTTGCTTTTAACATACATACATACACAGAGCAGTATATCTTAACCCCACCATAAATGCTTCAGAATTCATCCATCTATTTAAGCCATTTTCTTATCTTATGCTGACCCTTCCTTGACTGCAAAGTCTGACCGCTACACAGCAGTACGGTACACTAAGTTTTAGCTAGAATAGCTTACGTAACTAAACGGTTCCAGAATTCATCATTATTTGGACCTCATGGTCCAGGCACAGAACTGAGCCTTGCCCAGCTGATTGCAGAAGATGGTTTCCCCAAAGAACATAAGAATAAGGAACCACCTCATACCAGAACCATCTATAATAAGGACTCTGATGAGGACATCAATAAAATAGTGTTACTCATGGTGGACTATGCTTTTTAACATACCAATAAGTATTAATACCTATTTTAGTTCTTTCATCTTCACCACCCTTTTCTTCATCTTACACATCTGTAAGATTTCAGACAGAAGCTTTTTGAGTTAGGGAACGCTATTTATACTGTATTAACATTACAGCAACAAGAACTGCAAGAATCATCAGTGTCCCTGGCTCTGTTTTGTTTGATCTTTTGGTGTAAATATTAATTTCCCCCAAAACTCATATTCCTATCTATCAATCCCCCTAAATGCTATCTCTTCCTCCAAGAAGACTGCTAAGTAGACGCAAGTGCTGTGAGTTACCTAATGCTACCAGAAACATGGTTCAATTGGCTAACAACAAGAAATTCATACCTGGGGGCTATTCTGACAGCCAAGGAGAAGACATTTCAACACCAATAATTTAGATGCACTTATCTTTCCCCTCTTTCAAATACCTACCTTAGATCCACATGTTTAATATGAGGCATCCTTTTTAACACCTGCAGGTTCAGGGCATCCATGCAGTTTCCTGACATACAGAGCTTATCCATGGCAGTCAGCTTCTCCAGCACCCCTGGAATGTCGGTGAACTCATTGAAGGACAGGCTCACATAGCTGAGCTGATTCATATGCTCCAATTCATCAGGAAGGGACTGGAGAAAGTTGCCATCCAGCAAAAATGTCTGTAAGCTATTAAAAGCGGGGGAGGGGAAGGGAAAGTGAAGAAAGTGAGTGACCTGATAAATCACATTTCCTTCCTATAAACACACAAATCTGCTGCAGTTACAGTGACATGAAACATGCAAAAGGGCAGAAGAACAAAAATGTTAAGGAATAACACTTTAACATCTGCTACAGAAGACATTGATCAAATAATTAAAAGCCTTGGCAGCTATGAAACGTAGGCTGTGTTAGACAGTTGTATCTTCAAGAACTGTGCCTTGTGTGATGGTTGAAGTACATAAGCAAGGAGATTTAAAGATTTTCTTCACCATGAAGGTGACCCTTGTGTCAAATACTAGGGACTGAAACAGCTTCAAGACACAAGTTTGTTCCCCCTCCATCTGCACCTCACAACTGCTGCCATACAGATCTACAAGCCAGTCTGCTCTGACAAACCCCAGTATGTTTAAACTGTTTCTCATAGCAAGGTTACATAGAGTCATGAACTGCTTATTGCCTTTATTATCAGGCTGTGTACACTAAGTTTTTTAAAAGTACTTGCTTGTGCATCTCGCCTACAACTGCTGGAACGCTTCTGAGGGCATTGCAGGACACGTTGAGTTCAGTCAGGGTTGGGATACTGCAGACTGCCAATGGGAAATCTCCTAAATTATTATTGGAAAGGTTAAGGCTCTTCAACTTGGTGAATCTACAGCGAGATAAGAAAAAATTTAAAAAAAAAAAAGGGTGACACATAAGTGGAGCATAAACCATACAAGTTGCCTTGCAAGATAATTAATACAAATTAAGTTTGGTTGTCTAAATACAAATCACATGCATTTTCAGTTTATATACCCAGAACAACCATGGAAACTACCAGATACTCAAGTTCAACACCACTTGCAAGAGTTCACTCACATTAAGACAGCATAGAGAAACAGGACCTCCTGAACAACATGCTAAATCTATTTCCCATGAGCGTAATAAAGAACAAAACCCTTGCCATCCTTACAGTATGTTGTTTCTTCTGTGACATCTCATCCTGTACTAAAGCATTGCTCTTTTTCTGAACACTCTTCTTGCTAGGAAGGCTAACCTAGTGACACTGGTTACAAGGTGCAGGAATTTCTCAGCATATGGAGCCCACTGTGTGAGAAGATCAGGTTCGAGATCATCTAAAGAATCTGAAGGTGCACAAGTCCATGGAATCTGATGAGATGCATCTGTGGGTCCTGAGGGAAACTTGGCAGGTGAGGTGGCTAAGCCACTATCCATCATATTTGAGAAGTCATGTCAGTCCAGTAAAGTTCCCACTATCTGGAAAAGGGGAAAACACAACCCCTATTTTTACAAAGGGAAAAAAGGAAAACCCAGTGAACTACAGGCCACTCAGTCTCTCCTCTGTGCCCAGCAAGATCATGGAGTGGATCCTCCTGGAAACTATGACAGGACACATGGAAAATAAGGAGGTGATTGGTGACAGCCAACATAGCTTTCACTAAGGGTGAATTGTGCCTGACAAATTTGGTGGCCTTCTACAATGGGGTTACATCATTGGTAGATAAGGAAAGCAAAACTGACATGATCTACCTGGACTTGACCAAAGCACGTGGCACTGTTCTGCAAAACATCCTTGTCTCTAAATTGGAGAAACATGGATTTGATGGATGGACCACTCAGTAGATAAGGAATTGGCTGGATGGTTGCAATCAAAGAGCTGTGGTCAATGGTTCAACATCCAAGTGGAGAGCAGTGACAACTGGTGTTCCTCAGGGGTTAGTATTGGGACCAGCGCTGTTTTAACATCTTTGTCATGACATGGACAGTGGAATCGAGTGCACCCTCAGGAAGTCTGCTGATAACACCAAGCTGTATGGTGTGGTCAACACACTGGAGGGAAGGGATGTCATCCAGAGGGACCTGGACAGGCTTGAGAGGTGGGCCCATGTAAACCTCATGAAATTCAACAAGGTCAAGTGCAAGGTCCTGCACATGGGTCGAGGCAATCCTAAGCACAAATACAGGCTGGGTGATGAGTGGATTGAGAGCAGGCCTGCAAAGGAGGTCTTGGGGGGTACTGGTGGATGAAAAACTGAGTATAAGCCAGCAATGTGCACACACAGCTCAGAAAGCCAACTGCATCCTAGGCTGCATCAGAAGAAATGTGGCCAGCAGGTCGAGGGAGGGGATTCTCCCCCTCTGCTCCACTCTTGTGAGACCCCACCTGGAGTACTGCCTTCAGCTCTGGGGGCCCCAACATAAGGACTCATTTGCTTGAGTGGGTCCAGAGGAGGCCACAAAGATGATTGTGGACTGGAGCACCTTCCCTACAAGGACAGGCTGAGAGAGTTGGGGTTGTTCAGCCTGGAAAAGAGAAAGCTCTGGGGAGACCTTATTGTGGCCTTCCAGTACCTAAAGGGGGCCTACAGGAAAGATGGGAAGGGATTCTTCATCAAGGAGTGTAGTGATAGGACAAGGGTTAATGGTTTTCAACTGAAAAAGAGTCGGTTTAGATTAGACATAAGGAAGAAATTATTTTCTGTGAGGGTGGTGAGACACAGGAACAGGTTTCCCAGAGAAGATGTGGCTGCCCCCTCCCTGGCAGTGTTCAAGGCCAGGTTAGACGGGGCTTTGAGCAACCTGGCCTAGTGGAAGGTGTCCCTGCCCATGACAGGAGCGTTGGAACTAAATGATCTTTAAGGTTCCTTCCAGCCCAAACCATTCTATGATTCTATTTGAACACTAAATTTTTGTGGTGTAGCTGAGCTCCATTCATGTGAGTAAATACTGCCTTTCAACCAAAAATTCTCATTAGAATAGGCTGGTTTGAATACAACTGGGAAATTGGATGAATTAAAGCAGAACTTAGCAAGACTTCTGTTGTGACAGAGGCAAATTCTTATGCTTTCAATTAGGTATGATGTCAAAGCTCACAGATTTCAAAATTTTGACCTTGGCATATCATGGAACTATTAAAAGATCCTTAGTTTATCACACCAACAAAGCAACTTGCATGTATTTTCCTTATTAAAGATGACCAAGACTGTTTGAACAAAAAACTCAAGAAGGGAACAATCCAATTAGCCAGCCTGAATGTTCAGCAACATTATTAAGGTTGCCTAACAACCACTGGGAGGTATGCCTAAAGGCAAGTAAAAAGATGAATGAAAAGATCTGTGTCAGATTCCATAGATGGGAGGAAGTTTCTTTTCTGGCATGGTTTACACTGGGACATTTTATTTAGACTTCATTTTCCTTTTGTTAGGGCTTTGTGCAAGCAGGCTTTTATATAACACAGCGACAGAAGCAAAACTGCACCTATGAACACTGCTATTCCACACAAAAGTAATCTCTGACAGCATGTGCCAGTGCACCCATAGCCTCCACATCAGCCCAGCACATTCCTGCCTCAAAGCACGCACTTTGTCATTCCCCTGACCAGAAATCACAGAAAATGTATCAAGCATTAAAAAGTTAAAAGTTTTAACATCAAAAGACTCTTAAAATCCCTTACCAACTACCACAATCAACTGGCACACACCTTCAGTATAGCCTAAATCTAACTCATGTCATTGACTAAAACTCAAGGTAAGCAGCACCTTCATATCACATTTCAATGGAGGTTGTAAGTTAAGTGTCAATTCTACCCCAAAAGACAGGCTGTAAACATAGTTAACATTTACCCAGGCTTGCAGCAAGCAATGGAATGCTCTGCTCTCTACTGGTATTTTGGTGCAAAGATGGCAGGGAAAAAAAAAAAAAGGAAAAATCATGGCCAGAGTTACTGTGCCATGCTGGAGGCAGAAGTTTGGAACAGAGTTAGATGGAGACTAAATGAAATCTTGCAATCAAATTACTGCTGCAGGGTAAAAAATGCTACTGTGCAAAAACAATGACTAATATATCTCTAGAGGGAGAATTGTAAAATAAAAAGGAGGCTAGGGTAAGCCAGCTGATGTTAATGAGGGATGCTATCCAGAAAAAAAACACCACAACCACCACATTTTGAACACTTTAGCTTCATATTCCTCTTTTTTGAGAGAAAGGGCTTAAAAATTTTGATCCTAGAACTGAAATGCACAATCCTGCATTTATCTTGAAGATAACTGCAGACTATGCAATCAATCCACCACAGAATCACCCCAAATTTCAAGGCAGTGTAACAGCTGTCCCACATCTTTCTCAAGGTCAACTGAAAATACAAACAAGAGTGCTCTAAATAGCATTTTTTTTTTTCCAGTACTTCAGTTAAGTGCAAAAATAGTAGTGAAGACAGGAAGATTAAGTCAAAGTAACTAAGCTGCTGGAGAAACATCAAAATGCAACCATTTCAATTTTCAAGTCAGCCAAGAAAAAAGCATTAACTCATTTAATAAGCAACACTAAGACTGCAGCCTTTACCTGTGCCACTCTAGAGTCCCAGAACAAGTGTCTTGGCGCTTTTGCCCACTAAACTACAATCTGCTAGAAGACCCCAAACACAATCTTGAGGTAAAATTTCAGAATATCAAGCTAATAACAGAGGAAAGAGGACTGGGAGTGGGGTGGGGGGTGGGGTGGTGGTGAAGGAAGTTAAGTAGTACATTAACTCCAACGCAGGGTTCAGCTTCAAGGTTTTCTGTGCATGTTCTTATGTGTAGTTGTTCTAGGTCAAAGAGAAAAATAAATAAATCACACCCTGCCCCCCTCAATGTATCTGGATTACATCTCTATTATCCTAATGTGCATTTTAATGTGTGTTTATTTAGGGTCTTCTGTGAGTAATCCAATTACTAAATACACAAACTGAACTGGTTAACAGGTCTATATAGTATGTAAGGGAAGATGAGTAGTATATCCAGTATTTGATATACTCATACAGAAGCTAAAAATGCATATGTAAGTGGATGTTAAATAATCCACAATGGAGAGTTCATTGTTAAATCACATTTAAAGAAAAGATGAAAGACACCATAAGCTTAAAGTTAAAAGATTAAGACAGCTAATAGGAATGAGATATTTTCTTCCCTCTTTGTAAACATGTTAATTTACCAAATGCTAAACTTGCTTTTCTTCTCATTGAAGCGCTGTCAAGTACAGAACATTACTAAGCCAAACTAGCAGGTATTTGCTCGAAGTTACAACCTAAGTGTACTTCTCATCTTTGGTCACTCACTTCCCACTACCCACATCCCAAATAGGTTGGTGCACCTTCATTATGGAGCACTGCCATACTGCACATCTCAAATGCTGAACTGTGTACAGAGCTTCTTGTATCTAGATTTACAGTCAGTAGCACCAGTACCACTTGTAGCATCAATATAAATAAGGCAGAGGTATTTTAAAGACTCAAGTTTTCTGTTACTGCTGAGTTTGTACACTGTCAAGCTTTAAATAGATTTCACAAAGCAACATCTTCGCTATTTTCTCACTTTACTCTTACCAGAAGTAGAGGCACACATTGATGTTGCCCCCACGGCATTGCTAAAAAGAAGAAAAGGCACAACATTGGTTTAGGCATGACAGTGTAACAATCTCATGTCATGTCCATACATATGCTTTCCTTCCTCTTCTCTCTCCTTCCATGGTTCTAGAATGTTATCTGTTAAAAAAAGTCAGCCTGAGGAACAGCATCTCTCAACACACTATTCAGCTTACTAAACTTTCTATTGTAATTACCAATATATAAACAGTCATTTCTCTGACTAAAATTAGTCTTACTTTAAGCTA